CTGCCAGGGGAAGCTGCAATCCCTGCCCCGGCTGCGGCGGCTCCGCTCTTTGTGCGCACGAGGGGCAGCGTTGGGAGAGCACGGAGCCTTTTCAGAGATGTCATTTGTGGCCAGCACCCTCCAGCTGATCCTTGTCGTGTCCTGCTTCCTCCAGGCCGTGGCAAGAGCTGAGTGGGCCGGTCCTTTCAGGGGCTTTCCTCACTCTGGCCATGGCTCTGTTTCTTTCAGCCCTTCAAGCCCTTAACACAGATGAGAGCCCCTCCAACACAAACCTGATTGTTCAAGTCATGTTGGATGAAAGAGCTACATCACTAAGTTCATCTTCTGGATCAAAACAACCAGGACAGCAGCAGATGCCATGCAGGAGGAAACAAGCTGGAGATCAGAGGGGAGAAGCTGGAGCTCCAGGCCCAGCTAATGCTGGGCAAGTCTGAGCTCACCTTCCCTCTTTACTGGTCCTGCTGCCCTCAGAACCTGCCTGTTCCCTTCTCCCAAGCTTTGCCATTAATAAACATTTCAGCTTCTTCACCTCATTGGTATCTTTGTGGAGCTGAAGTGGATCAAAACCTGAGCTCTGGAGCACACAGGCCCCGTCCTGCCGTTCTTTTCTGTGCTGCGTTCTGTGCAGAGAAGCAAAGCACATGAGGCTCGAAAGGTCCCTGCCCTCGAGGTCTGGTTTCACACCACTGTGAAAGATCTAAGGGTCTTGCTGAGCACACTGAAGGTCAGCAGTAGAACACAGAGCCTGGATTTTAGAAGAGTCAACTTCAGTATTTCCCGAATCCAGCCATGAGGGATTCTGTGACAAGCATCCACTGGGGGCAAAGGAGCTTGGAATGCTGGAAGTTAATTCAAGAACAGGTTCCTTGGAAGCACAGCAGTGGTCCTTCCCTAGAAAAGGGAGAGGAAGAGGGCAGAAGCAGAGATGCCCCTGATTTCCAGTGAGCTTTGGGTGTACTAAAAAGGAAGCAAATGAAGAAGCAGTACAGGGGTGTGGAGGGATAGAATTTAAGGAAATAGTGCAGAAGGTACTCTCAAACCTGGGGAGTTGCAGCTGTACTCATCAGCAAAGATTAGGAACAGGCCTGCCCTTCATAGGCCACAGCTGTGTCCAATAAGAAGCGTGCTACAAAAGAGTGGATTAGCTGGGTGAGCAGAGAGTTGGAGTTTGTTGGCTGTGCTGTGAAGGAGAAGGAGTCGGTGCTGCTAGGAGCTGCCCATGAGAAATCACCCAGAAGGTAAGGGAGCTTAATGATAAAATGGCTGCAGTACTTCAGCTCAGACCTTTGCTGCATCCACTTGGAAACTGGGATTTTTGCCCCACCTTACAGCTGTGTACCTTGGAAACCCCTCATGGCATTGAAATTGTCCTAACTGAATTAATTGTAATAATGGTGAAATTAAACTCTCTGAAATACAGCAAGGAGATCAGCTGGCTCGGAAAGCATGGCAATTTTGGAGCACTTCATCCTTTTGATAGCACTGCTTGGTTTCTCTCCTTCAGAGCTGACACTCAGGTGTCTGTTCTGCTTTGGTTTGTAATACATCATCTGAAGGAAGGTGTGCCAAAGAGCTCCTCCTGATATAGAGATCAAAGCCAGGACCTATCAAATGTGCTGATGAAAACACCTCAGTTCAGTACAGAAAAGAAAAAATGTCTCAGCCAATGATAATTTTCATGTAGAATGCAAAGCAAGGTGGTTGATGCATCTACAGCATAAATTAATGCATTTTATCAACTGGGCTGACCTCAGGAACATTAAAAGAAATGCATTGTGCTGCTGCAATGAGTTTTGAGCAGTCCTTTCAAAGAGTTTTCGTTTGTGATCCTCCTTAGAATATGAGATGTTCATTTTGCTCAGTTACATTTAACATGGCAAATAAGTGAAGGCATTCAATTCTAAAGTGAACTTTTCACAGAGTATCTAAGTGCTGGTAGTAAATCCAAACTACTCAATCTAGTGCATAATGAAGAGCTGTAATGCTCTGAATAAATCCATTACTCAAATGTGTACTCTAATGAAGGTATAAGTCATTAGTGTTTGCCTGACTTTTTTATGTGGTTGAAATTAACAGCAATGTAAGCCACATTGCAAACACTAAAAAAAAAATCCCAAATATTTCTAAATGAGGATTGAGGAAAATATTATCTGTGAAGTACACCATGGATAATCTGTGTGGATAAAATTTTATCTGCAATGCAAAATGTATCTTCTTTCATTTTTTTTTCTTGACTTTTTTTTTATACACAGCAGAGAAATAGAAAGACTCTTAAAAGCTCTTCCTAAAAGATCATATGGCAGCAGTTGGAATTTAGTCTATCAAAAGTGCTTCTCATGGTACATAAGGAAGTGTGATATCCCATTAAAACAGGAGAGAATATTATTAATCTCTATTAAAAAGACTAATGAAATGGAGTATGATATCCTGCCAGCTGTGGCTTAGAACTTTTTCTTCTTTCATTTGAATTAGAAACAGGAAAAGCCATAATCAGAGCAGGGCATGGAAACGGTGGAGAAGGAAGTAATTTAGAAGTGTTTTCTTTCATTTTTCAAATCTGAAGGACCTGAGGGATTCAACTTTTGGTTTAAACAAGAGCAGCCATCTGACATTCTGTAGCTCTCCAGAAAATGCAAGTCATGGGCTGTGGGAATAAAAAGTATGGGTGGCTTTTTTCTCTTTTGTCTCATTTTGATTTTTAACATGTGGGAATTTCCCAATGCAGGGAGATTTCCTCCATGCTCTGCAGCAGATGAGTTATATGGGCATATCAAAGGGCTGACCCTGAATCTGTGAGTCTGTATGTTCAGCAGGAATGGTTTATACACGTTTTGGTCATGGCACATCATGGTTCTTGCCATTTCCTATGGCATTGGAACAGATATTTAAGTGATTCTGGGCCTCAGCTGGCAGCCAGTACAAAATGCTGATGGAAATCTGTTTCCCCACAGAGTCATAACACCACTCCTGAGAATATCCACATTGAGCATTTTCAAGTGCACAGACCAAACATCCCAAAGGGAAAGGGGCAGATCTTATTGCAGTCCTGTGGCAATGCCAGAGGTCTGAGATTTACTTTGGTTGTCAGATTTTTGTTTGTTTGGTACTTATTCAGCATTCCTGGAATAATCAGATAATTTCTCTGCAAAGCCCCAATATCCCACGTCTTATATCAAAATATACCTCAGTGCACAGTGCTCAAAATAAAGATGTAACACCACAGTGAACTCAGTTGTGTGAGATAGTTTGCTGGGTTTCACACATTGTTACTCTTAGAGTTTAATGGTGTATTTCCACCCCATGCCACAGCTTTCCATTAAAATACAGAGCTGATGGCAGTCAGTGGAGCTCAGGTTTGGGCTGGGTCACTTCTGTGACAGGGGACTTTACAAGCAGGGCCACAAAGGCCAGCAGCTGCACAGGAATCAGTTACAGACCAAGGGGCCTGGCACTGCTGGGCTTACCAGTCCTCCTCTTGAAGCTAAATATCAAAAATTAATTAATTATTCTGTAATTTTGTGGCAAAACCCTGGGGAGAGTGGGACAGTAGGGGGAAGGGAGAACTGGGGGTGGTCTTGCAAATGTAATTAATGGTGTTTGCTCATATCCAATAGTCAGTAAAGAAGAGCAAAAGCCACTCTTGTTCCAATATCCTTTTACAGGTCATCATAACAGCTTTGCCTATTTGAAGATGTACATCTGTGGGGTTTTCAAGCTCAGTTAGAAGCACCTTTCTACCAAGACTGCAGAACTGTTATTGGTAAAGGATGCAAGTACCACACGGGGAAAAAAAAAATCACAGGTAGTGTTCCCCTTCCATAATAAGCTGAGCATCATGTTAGTGCTCAGAACTATGAACATTTATTTCACTTTATTATTGCAGCAGAATACCAAATTAAGATTTTATGATAAATTATTTATTTACATACAATGACAAGTAATCCCAGACTAAAATGTATTTGAGAAGACATTTATTTTCTGAGCATTCAGAAAGAGAAAGTGTTTCACTGGAATGTTGAAGCAGGATGTAGGAGCTGATTAGAGGTGCCTGCCACGTTGCCAAGGCATGACCTTGGAGAACTTGGGGAACTTGGGGAGTTGTAATGCTACTGACATTGTACCTGGCAGAGTGGTAAGTCAGAAACCAACATTATACACACCACTTGTTTTCCAGTTTGGTGCCTCACCTTTTATCTAAAGTATGATTAGGAAAACCAAGAGCATCCCCTTCCTTTACAAAAAACCAACCAACCACCTTTACAGCTATACAAACATGAAGATGTTTATCTGGAGCAAAATGTTTTTCTCTGATGAATAACCAGCATAATAATTTGTGTTTCATTTTAGTGGTTTTAATTTCACTCAAATCTGAGCTTCTGATACAAATTGTTTAGATCAAGGAGTAAACTCGTATTTCTAATGGATTACTTGTGAGCAGAGCAGGCAATAAAATGAATAATGGAGGGGAATCTTTAAAAATTGCAAACTGACCTTTGAAATGTCAGAATTTGGATGTTTCCTGTAATCAGCATTTTGTGATAAATGAGAGCAGTAAATGTAAAGATCCTTGGTTCAAAGTGTGTGTAATCGAAATCCAATGAGAGATCGATGGCCTTTGGGTGACCTTTTCTGAAAAGGTCAAATGACAACATTTATGGGAAACTTTTCATGTGCTTGGAGGATGATTATAAATGGGTTTATTGCATTTCAGTGTTCTGCTTATAGAGGGAAGCTCTGCCTATTTGTCTGGGTCTGTATATGTATGAGCATATATGTCAGTCATGTCAATTTTATACATATTTTTATGTATATACATAGCCTGACATATTTGTATTATTTGAATTTTTACGTTAATACTATTACAAAATAATATAAATGAGAGAAATGCTACTATATACAAATACAATCTCACCTAGTTATTTTTAAGGAAGGCAACAGGAAGATCGAAAATGACTTCAGTGGAAAATTGGTTCCATTCTGCCAATGGTGACAACAGATTGGAAATAAAATAACAAAAGCTCCTATCACAAGTGATGAAAGAGTAAGTCTCCTTCTCAGAGGCATCTTTTAGGAATAAGTCCACTGACCCTTTTTTTTTTTCTGAATAGCTGTTGGAGAATGTTTTTTGCTGTTCTTACACACCAAAATGTCTAAAATGTTCCAAAGTTAAATTGGAGACCATCATCACCAGATTTTGATGTCTGCCTTGCTGTTTTGTATTTCAAATTATGAAAAAATGCTAAT